AGCAGGAACAGCTATACGTAAAATTTATTGCAAGGCCAAAGGACATATGACAACTCATAAGCAAGGGCCGTGAATAATTGACACGTGAGATTCTTGGAGATGAAGGCCAGGGCTTGGCTCTGTGATACTCTGAGTCTTCACAACGCTGCCCAGCTGGTGACTCAGCAAGCACCATTCAACAGAGGTACAATATGGGATGGCATATTTAAAATACTTAAAATAATTTAAAAATACTTAAAGTACCCTTTAAGCAAAGGCTGGGTCCCTTCCCCACTCTCTGCCAACTCTCTTGTGGTATCAGAGTGTTATGTAACAGGAACAGTGATACAGAAAGTGAAACACGAGAGGAAGAGCACACACGGAGAAGAGGGCAACGATGAAAGGGAAACTAAGTGACATAGAAAAAAAAAGAAAGAATGGGATAGCAAAAGAGAAAACAGGAATCCTGATACAATGTGCTCTCCTATTAAGGAAGAAAGTTCTTCCACCAGCTAAACAGCAGCTCCTAAAAATATCTTCCCTGAAACACACAAGCTTTGGTCTCTGTGGAAACAGAGCTCCATCCGACAGAGCAGGAGACTCAAGTTAAATGCCTGGGTGGGATGTTCCTGCACTTCTGTGGAGCACATCAGAGTTCAAAACAAGCAGGGCAACACTGCAATGTGGAAACCAGCCTCCAAACCAGCAAAACCAAAGTAGGAAGCAATTCAAACAGTTACTGTGGGCATATGCAAAACACTGGTTTGACAAGGGAGATAAAAAGGCAGGCATTGCTTTTTTCCTCAAGGGAAGCCAGTAAGTGAGAAGTGCAAATCTACATCTGTTTAAAATGATGCAAGCATTTCTGCTTCCCCTTACCCACAAACACTCTTGAGGTGGAAAAGTTCTCCAGCCTAGTCTACTCTCAATAGCCTATGAGTAGATTATGTGGATTACAGATTACACTTCTTATGCACTATCTTCAGATATCTTCACAAACAGTACAGCATCTGTACTTACAACTTCCCAATTCAGGCCAGGTCTACCTAAGGCACCAATGCACTCTAGTTATTAGTAACGCAACATTTCATTTTATTTTTGTTACTGCCCCAATTTATATGAATTAGGTTTACCAGCACCTCTGATCTCATTATGCTAGCATGAAATATACACACAGAAGTTGGCTATTAAGAATCCACGCCCCAAACTCTTCTACTTACTCCAGCACAGAGTAATTGGAGGCCTCAGTCACACCAACAGGTCAGTGGGACAGAGGAGGCTGGGAATATTGCTGACAGCGAGTACAGCAGTGGAGGATGGGACACAGTTACTTCTAGTTCAATCTGCTTAGCTGTGTGGCTGTGGCTTGGGCCATGTACGATAAACTGAGGAGGGAAGACACAGATGATGGTATCAGTTGCCTTTGTAAAGTTCTTAACACTTTCTGGCTGACAGCACTATGTACAAACTATGTATTATCATCAAACAACTTTAATTATGAGCATAAGATACTGATTCTCTCCCTTCCCAGTCTTCAGCTTTGAGTGGTACAGATGGAAAGTTTACCATTGCAATTTTTACGCTCTCCTTGCTCAGTTGAAAGCACTAGTGGAAGGCTGCTTCAGGGACTACAGACGTGTCATACAGCTGAAGCCTTGCAATGTTCACAGCCAAAGCTACAGCATCTGTGCCAATCCTCAAAGGTACTAAATACATATTCATAATGAGGCCGGTCCTTTTTTCAGGCTTACTGAAGCAGTGAAGTTAACCACACCTTGTATTTCCAGGTATGAAGTTTTAGGCCTGTTTGCTGTTCCAATATCCCCTACCTAAACTAGAAAGCATATAGAACAGTATGGATATAGCAACAGCAACAAATCTGTTTCCAAAACCAATCACAGTAACTATCTAGGCAGAGCATTTTGACCAAACAAACCCCATTTCATAATGCTGTTGAGACCTACTTTTTAACTGCTACTAAACTAAAGCAGCTACTGCTGGTCAAGTTCTTCCTTGCAACACAGCAGATAAAGATAAAAGACGGAAAACAAGTTAACTTATGTGTTCTTGCAAGGAGGATGAGTTTGAAACTATGCAATCGCCTCTCAAGGGAAACACCAATTCAATAACTCATTTTCAAGACACAAAGAAAATCCAGCTTACATCAGGAACAACACAAATTCATGCCACATTTGGATGAAACAGTGACTTCTAGAGTATTTCTACTAGAACATACATTTGCTCAGTTATAAGATCTCCACGAGCTATTCTCCAAGTCTGTTTCTTCCTGTTTATACAAACCCATTTGTCACAACATACTATTCACTGCCTTTTCAAAACAAATTATCTCTAAACTTTATAATCCAGAGAAATTTAGATTGCTCGTTAGGAAACTTAGAAAGGTTTTAGGTTTTACTACAGAATCATCATACACTTCTATAAGATATGCATCTACGTTTTCAGATAAAAGTGGCTATTTAGTCTAGCATG